CTGTATGGTACTTTGATGTCATACACCGATCGGTCTGCACACGCAAACAAAGCCAAAACCTAGATATTTTTGGCAATATAGAAATCCTGGGAAAATGGCACGTATGGTCACCCTAATTAAAATGAAACAATCAAGATGACATTGAAGTGCAGACTTTAAGCTTTAATTCAAGGGGTTGCACAAAAATATAAAATGCTTAGTTATTACAACCATTTTTATACACACTCCCCCTATTTTCAGGGGCTCAAATGTAATTGGACAAATAAATGTAATTACCATGGAGAGGATCCTCTGATCATCCAGCACTGTTGTCCTCCGTGGACGTCCAGGTCTTATGTTTCTGAGCTCACCAGTGCGTTCTTGTTTTCTCAGAATGTACCAAGCTGTTGATTTGTCCGCTCCTAATGTTCCTGCTATCTCTCTGATGGATCTGTTTTGTTTCTGAAGCCTAACAATCGTCTGTTTCACTTGTATGGAGAAATCCTTTGACTGCATGATGTGCTTCACAGCAACAGCTTCCAAATGTAGATGAAACACTTAGAATCAACTCCAGACCTTTTACCTGCTTAATTGATGTAGAAATAACGAAGGAATAGCCCACATCTGTCCATGAAACAGCTTTTTAGTCAACTGTCCAATTACTTATGATCCCTTGAATAAGGTATATATTAAAGAGCTGTAATTCCTTAACCTTTCCTCCAATTGTGATGAGAATACCCTCAAATTAAAGCTTTAAGTCCATATTCATTATGTAACTGTGACTTGAATATGTTTTGGTCAGCAGCTAAAATAATAAAAATTGTGCCTGTGTCCAAATATATATGGACCTAACTGTGTATATATACACGTATATATCGAAGTATTGCGTGAATTCAGGTGGTTTTGATTAGATCATGATGACTGGCACGTGTGTGTGTGTGTGTGCGCAGGTGTACGACACCGCTGACGGCACGCTGATTCAGCCGCTGAAGGGACACAAAGACACCGTGTACTGTGTGGCTTATGCTAAAGATGGTAATGATATCATCCTGTATCTGATTAACTGTGAGTGCATCATGTGCGTCTGTGTGACTTTCCTCCTCTCTGTCCCGCAGGGAAACGCTTCGCGTCCGGTTCAGCAGATAAAAGCATCATCATCTGGACCTCCAAACTGGAGGGCATCCTCAAATACACGTGAGCTTCTGTGCTTATAATAATCATATAATTATGATGACGTTTATTATCTTAGTGTTTCATTTAGTCACAGGCCCCATCATGCCGTGCTGCCGTCCGTCAGACCAGACTTCACTGATAGTGTGTTTGTGTGTGTTTTCTCTCTCAGTCACAATGATTCAATCCAGTGTGTGGCTTACAACCCCGTCACACACCAGCTGGCCTCGTGCTCCTCAGGAGACTTCGGTGAGTGTGTGTGTGTGTGTGTGTCAGCATTCACAAACCCATTCACTACTGTGACACATCAATGACAACTGAAACGAGAGACTGACAGGTGCTTAATCAATTCAATTCACTTTTATTTGTATAGCGCTTTTCACGATACAATTGTTGCAAAGCAGCTTCACAGAAAATTAAAGTTTCTACATTATATTTACTAGTAGCTTATCAGTGGTGACTAATAAGAACTGGTTCTCAGTTCCCAACCCTAATTGTAATGCACTGCTAGGTGGTTGTCCTGCATCTTCAATAAACAAGCTACAGGTGGTCAAAAATGCAGCGGCTAGAGTCCTTACCAGGTCAAGAAAATAT